AAACCCATTATAAGCCAGGCGTTTGTTGCATCCAGTGGGGACATAATTATGGATTATAATGACTTATACTGTCTTTTTACACGTTGCATTGCATCGCGCCGCGTAAACATAAAACCATGTCTGCATTTGTGATCGGAGAAATGACAAACAACAAGCCCTACTCTACACTGCCCAAAACTCACGTTTGAATTGTCAGTGGAAAATTCTTTAAAAATTAAAAATGTACTTACAGTCTGTGAGTCAGAACAGCCGGCATTGTAGTCTACTCTTCCAGGATCAGGAAACAGTCCTCCATAAAATGCACTGCACACATCTGAATATTTGGGCTTAATGGTTAATAAAATACAGTATTATAATGCAAAGCTGTATAATAAAATACTGCATCTTGCCAAAGTCAGAAGCACATAAAAGTGCGCATGAGAGATGGACTGAGTGATATAGAGAGAGAGAGACTGAGCAGTGTCTGTAAACCCAATATCCTCTGTGGCCCCAGGGGCTGGGAGTGCACGGCCAGTGCAGGAAGAGATGGGCTGCATTATCCACATCAAAGCTCTGAATTATCAGCCATAATCAATGCCTTTGCATTACTGCCTCTGCTCTCCCACTGCACTGTACAGCACAGCAGGGCCGTGGGATCATCCGGAGAGAGAGAGAGAGAAAGCTAGCAAACGAGTGAAGGGGGAAACGTCATTAGTCTGGGGTGATGTCTGTTCTTAAAGTCTTTGTAGGTGCTGTGGGACAGCAGGCACTGGTGGTGTTTAGCGCCTCGCTGATGGGTGTGGGCTGATTTTTTGAAGAGGTTCTGCCAATTTTGAGCTGAAGATCCAATTTGATTTGATCTCTGATTATGTCATGGTTATCTGTTACTGCATCTTTGTAAATGGTGCAGTATGGTGCAAACAAACTGTGTCTTTCAGGGCACTCACTCATATACGTTTTATTTTATAGACCTCTGGTGAGATTATATTTAACAAATGATGTTTTTGAATTCCGACGTAACTACAATAGGCCTATGCACATTGCCTAAAAAACTAAATAATAACAAAAAATTATGCAAGGTCATTGCCATTGTTTGGATTCTGAAATTAACTTTCAGGATTATCGTAAGTGGCATTTAGAGGAAAATACTTTCCTTTACTCCATTTTATGATATGAATGAATCAAAATGGTAGTCAAGCCCTTTCAGATATAATGACCTCATTGTGCAGATGGAGGGGAAGTTTAATCGCTGGCCTGTCGCAGGGTTGCCAGGTTTTCACAACAAAACCCGCCAAATTGCAACTCAAAACTAGCCCAATTGTGTTTCGAGGGGGGTCCCCCAGTAAATATAGTGTTCTGGGGAGTAAAAAACACGTTTGTGGTGGGGTTCCCCAGTAAAATATGCATTTCAGGGGCTAAATATCATGTTTTTAGAGTCGCTTCAACCCACGGCAACAGTGTTAAAGTAGCAACACTCTCCTGTGATAGAAAGGAAAAGTTATTGTTTAGCACCCTCTGGTGACTAGACTAGCTATTTCTTGACTCTATCTTTACTTTTTATGCAATTCATTCCAAGGATATTCTCGTAAATTTTTCGTTACTTGAAACTAAATGAACTGAAATCAACTAAAATATAGAAAAACTTTTATTTAAGCTAATTTAATAGAATTAATACATTCATTAATACTATTTAGACATAAAAAAAATGAACACAAGTAAAATTAAAGTAAAAACAAAATATAAAAATAGAATCAAATTCAAAATATTAAGATATAATAGTATACAAATAATACTAAAATAACACTAATTCTATACAAAAATGAACTATTATTGCAATGTGTAAAAAACTCCAAAATAAAACTCCAATCCAAATATACTTAGGAAACAAAGCAGAGTACTTTGGAGTTCAATGTACAAGAGAAATAAATAAACACCCTCAGATGTCAAGAGGTCAAAAAATTCTTTATTTCAAGCACAAACAGTTACAAGATGTAAAGTTACATCCACAAAAGAGATCAATGCTGCAGATGGAACATTCTAATTGTAAAGTTTAAGAATTTAAAGGGGCACTCCAACATTTCAATAGATAAGATGCATTTAGTCAGGATATCACACATCAAACATCATTTTCTTTGAACACAGCATTGTTATAGAGTTCTAAGAGAAGAATTTCTTTAGTCACATCAAGAGTTAAAAAATGTCCAGATATCCAAGCTACAATCTACCGCATGATGACATCACAAACCACTCTCAAGTCTTGCACACCACTAACAATCGCACAGAAATAAAGGTAAACCTAAAAAACTCCACACTCAAACATAGCAAGTGTCAGAGTCTTATGAAGGATAATATAGTGGAAAAACCACTTGATTCATGCAGATATTGTAGAAACATTCAATGTACCGTGTCAAAAACATCCCAGCAGTTTCAGACTATAAAAACTGATGTGTTTATGGAGGCCTTATAGCTGCCAGTGTCTACTGAGTTTTTCTGATTGTTCATTTTGTTTAAAAAACAAAAAAAACCTATGGCCCGGTTTCACAAACGGGGCTTAGCTTAAGCCAGGACTAGACCTTAGTTAAATTAAGATATTTAAGCAACTTTTACAAAAATGCCTTAGAAGAAAACATTACAGGTGTGCATCTTGACACAGAACAATGAAACGGACATATTTTAAGATATGTCAGAGCAAGATATTTTCAGTTGAAACAGCTCAAACATGCATTTTAGTCTGGGACTAGCTTAAGCCTCGTCTGTGAAACCGGGGGAATGTCTTCTAAACCAGTGTTGGGGAAAGTTACTTTTAAAAGTAACGCATTACAATATTGCGTTACTCCATAAAAAGTAACTAATTACGCTACTTCGTTACTTTTTATGGAAAGTAATGCGTTACGTTACTTTTACGTTACTTTTTAAATCTGGACAGGGCTTGATTGTTTGTTTTTAAAATAAAAAAAGTTATATTTTTGGCAAATATCAAAGCCTTTTCACACCAAAAGTGAAATGAATAAGCCTCAGGCTGAAGGGAAAGTACATTTACGTCCGTACAGTAGAACGCAGAAGAAGACATTTCAACACACTTGAGCAATAAAAAAAAAAGACACACAAATGTTTGTCTAGTAATTTTTGCTTATTAGTACGGTTGAACTGGATCATCGAAGGTCAGAAGCAAATAGAATGGGATTAAATACATAAAGGATATTTGTGTTGTTTAACATTTAATTCTTGCAGGTTTGCGTCATATTCTGAGTTGCATTATTTTTATTCATTTTGAGGAATACTGAATCTGTGTTTTTATTTGTGAGTGAGTCGAATTAATGCATATTCATATTTATTTTAGAACTACAGTAACATCTGATTTCTCTCAACATGGGGACAGGAGAGCTGTCAATCAATAAATTGGGGGGGAAAAAGTAACTCAGATATTCTCTTGTAAATTAAAAAGTAATGTTACTTTACTAGTTACTTGAAAAAAGTAATCTGATTACGTAACTTGCGTTACTTGTAATGCGTTACCCCCAACACTGCTTCTAACCAATGTTTAAATATAGGACAACATTTACCATTTGACAGATTTAATTTCCCATACTGTATAGCTGTGAGAATTTATGGGGGTTACCCCATGTGCTATCAACCACTTTAAAGCAGTAAAACCCCTCACCAGCTAACATTACATATTAGTGATCTACCAAAGTATCAGCTAGACCAATAAATAAGCAGATATTCCGGCCGATTACTGTGTTGGCACCTCCTTGTGTCAGTTACAACATCTGACAGCTTTGTAAACAGATAATGTGATTATTATTATTTTCTTTCTTATTTTTGTGTTTGTCTTTTCTACAGTTTATGTATACACTACTGTTTAAAAGTTTGGGATCAGTTCTTTTTATTATTATTATTTTAAATGAATACTTTTATTCAGCAAAGATGCATTAAATTGATCAAAATGTAACTTTGTTACAAAAATGCATATTTCAAATAAATGCTGTTCTTTTAATCGTTTTATTTATTAAAAATTGTCCAAAAAATCAAAAGGTTTTGCAGCACAACTTTTTTTCAGCATTGATGATTATTGATATTGAGAAACAAATCAGAAGACTAGAGTAACGATGCTGAAAATTCAGCTTTGCCATCACATATATAAATTAAATTTTATAATATATTAAAATAGAAAACAGTTATTTTAAATCATAATAATATTTCACAATTTTTCTGTTTTTACTGTATGATCAAATAAATGCATCCTTGGTGAGACTTTCAAAAACTTTTACAGACTTTTCTATTTCTATATAGTGGATCATCCTGCTCTCTGGATATCTGCATGGGCCATTCAAAAACGTGCATCGGCCGACCACTATAACATATATGCGTGATTTTCTACATAAAGCATCACCTCTGTCACATGACAATAAAAAAAACGATTGCATAATTAATATACCCAAATGAATAAGAAAACCAACAAAACCAGCAATCACCTTTTACATTACTGACAATGCTCAACTTTTATTCCAGTCAAGGTATATGATACTTGCAAATCATTTCTCTCCAAATATTTACATGCTTACAGTAGTGTTGACAGGAGGCTACTAAAGGTTGTGGTGCATCATATGAAGAGATGACTCAAAAGTTTTTTTTTTTTTTAAATCAATTATGCACACAATGACTACATCCATCTATCTATCTAAATGGCTGCATTTTCAGTTGCTATTAATCCTCTCTTCAGTATCAGGATCCTTTACAAATTATTGTAATATGCTGATTTGACTTGAGATACTTTTCTTCTTATTAGAAGAAGTTAAAATGGTTGTGCAGCAAAAATGTTCAAACGAACAGCACTTTAAATAAAAAATATTTTGTAACATTATAAATGTCTTGAATTTAATGCATCCTTGCTGAATAAAGTATCAATTTCTTATAATATTAGTATGTAATATTACTGTATGTATATATACAAATTCAGACTTTAGTTTTATTAGACCATTTGTGGTAAATGTTTTGGGTTACAGTACCTTTAAGACTTCTATGTAAATGCCCTCCTTTTCTAAAAGCTTTTATTTCAAAACATCATAAAACATTTCTACCCTGCACCTAGAGAAATGTGTCCCTTTCCAAACAATTTAAAGTCTTACAGTCTAGATGACTCGCGAGGTGACCCCCGTACTCTCGATGACAACAGTCCTGTCCTCTTTAATGGGTGGTGTGTACTGGTAATCGTCACTCAGCAGACCCAGAATAGGGTACTGGTTCATGTATCTGTTCATGATAAGAAAAAGTTTACAATGGCGATTAGGACTGAATTGCAGTTTAGATTCTACATGGTTCTTATATGCAATAAACACACACACACACACACACACACACCTCTTGGTAACGACAGTCCTCGTTGTACTGCTGGAGTTGGAGTCGACCTTCTGCTGTTTGAGTCGCCTGATATCCTGAAAATGCAAGGTCAAAGGTCAGAATGAAGTACTCCAGTAGAAAAGAAGAGAGGTATCTGTTCAAATTGTACAATGAATTCACATTCCTCAAAAGTAATGAGGCTGAGGTAATGCAGAGACTGAAAAAAACTAAAGAATGTGAACTATGATGCCAAGTGCCGCTCCTTATAATGAGAACTACGTCCTCATTCACTTGACTTGTTCAGAAACAGACTTCATGTTGTTTTCCTTAAAGTGCTCCAATTATGGATTTTTGAACATTACCTTTCATGCAGTGTGTAACACAGCTCTAAGTGAATGAAAACATCCTGCCAAGTTTTAAATCTGAAAGTGCACCGTGTATAAAGCTATTGTCTCTCAAAAGAAAGAGTCGACTCTGAATCATTGAAACGAGTCGTTATTACATTACCATATTGCCCGCCCACTTGTTGATCTTTTCGTGTTGGTCTGAATGAAAATGCAAATTCATTCTGTGCCACTAGCTGCCGCTTTTGGAGCGATAAAAATAGCGGTTTCCCCGGTAACGCTGTACACACAAAGCAGCACTGCGTTCACAAACACTGCTTTATCAGGGATTACAGGCATGATGAAATGAAAATGAGACCAATTGGACCAATCACCGCAGATTAGCGTCATGCAAAGGAGGGGTTTGGAAAAATGATCGTTAAACGAATCGTTTGGGAGTCGTTGAGCAAATAAGGTAAAAATAAATGCATATTATAAGACAATGAAAGTGTTTTTAGACCTTGCATGCATGTCAACCTGTTGTTGGGAACTCCCAAAACCAAAATATGAGCCTTTCATAACCTATAATAGGGGCACTTTAAACATGTCAGTATGGTCTGCTTTAATAATATTATTAAATATCTACTTTTACAACAACAAAAAATAGTGTACATAACAAATGACTGAATTAATCTTTAACCTCAGTTAAATCTAGGTTTCTTTACTAATTTAGCTGCACAAAACTTTAAAACCTTATATGGTCATTTTTTCCTAGTTCCCAGGTTTTACGGTAAACCTTGATTAATTGTAATCCTGTTGCTCCATAATTTAAAAGTCAGGGTTTAAATGAGGCATTTCCACAATGTCAGACAGCATATGTTACATAGCATGACAGAAATTAAAGGTTCAAAAAAGTCTACGACTCAACACATTGAGCTTTATGTTTTTCCAGCAGGCTTCCAAGCTGTCAAATTTTGGTTACTGATGACGGCCACAACTCAAGGAAACATTGGGTTGCATCACATGGCAGAACTGATGACAATTGCATTGCGTGCTTGTTAAAAACAACACTGACAAAGCATCTTATGTCTGTATAATAGTGTTGACGTACCTCCTCCTGATGTCTGATGACACTTTCACGCTGTTCTAGTTTGGACAGAAGCTCAGTGATACGTATCTCCAAACTGCTGTCAGAGGTCTGTGTAATGGTGCGCTCGGTCTGGATCTTTACAAGTTGAGTCTAGAAAAAAAATTAATAAATACATGCTATATGTATTGAATGTAATATATAATTTAATTTTATATGTATTGGCTCTACACTACCGTTCACAAGTTTGGTTTCAGTTAGATTTTTAATTATTTTAAGAAATTATTAGTTTTATTTAACAAGGATGCATTCAATTGATAGTAAGTGACAGTAAAGACTTTTAAAATGTCACAAACAATTTAAATTTTTTGTTTTTCTAAACTTTCGATTCATTTTTTATGAATTTCAAATTTCAAGATCATGTTCCATGAATATATTTTGTAAATTTCCTATCGTAAATATATCGTAATGATTAGTAATATGCATTGCTAAGAACTTAATTTGGACAATTTTGAAGGCGATTTTCTCAATATTTAGATTTTTTTTGCACCATCAGATTCCAGATTTTCAAATAGTTGTATCTCAGCCAAATATTGTCCTATCCTAACAAACCATACATCAATGGAAAGCATATTTATTCTGCTTTCATGTGATGTATAAATATAAATGTTAATTGTAAAATGTAAAAATATTGACCCTTATTACTGGTTTTGTGGTCCATGGTCATATTTCTTAAGGATCATGTGACACTGAAGACTGGAGTTAAGACTGCTGAAAATTCAGATTTGGCATCACAGGAATAAAATCGATTTAAAAATATATTCAAATAGAAAACGGTCATTTTCAATGGTAATAATATTTTACATTATTACAGTTTTTACTGTGATGTTAATCAATGCAGTCTTGGTGAGCATAAGAAACTTCTTTCAAAAACATTCCAAAAATATTACCAACCCCAAACAATAGAACGGTAGTGCATATGACACTAAATTGTTTGGCAACCATACACAGCCTACAATTTGGACACATAACTATATTACTAAACTATTTTTGAGTCAGTTTACATTTTAGTCATTATCATATTGGACTTGACGCCATTTTATAAAAGTGATAAGCAACTTGAGGCTGAGCATTATACTAACTTTACCATGGTTAAGTGGGTCTTAGCGAAAAAAAAGTGTTTTTTTTCTCATTTACTTATTATTTATTTACCCGCAGGTTCTTGAGTTCTCTGTCCTTCTCCTCTCGTAGATCGTTCAGCATCTGTTCATACTCTCTGGACAGCTCCTGTGTTTTGATTTGGACAGTGGAACTACTGCACTGCCCTGCCAACTGTGGAAGAGATGCCCATAAATCCACACGAAACATTAAAAGGAAGACAACGAGGGAAGACAAAAATAAGACCTTAGAATTTACACAAGATACAAGACTGCTAATTATCGCTGTATTTGACAACAATAAATACTGAAACATCAAATTATGACATCACAAAGTTTTATCGGAGCTGTGAGTTTGCATTGTGAATTGAATATGCTGAGTTTAAATGTCCATGAACCATCTGCGTTGCCTTTGCTGCACACTTCACTGCACACAAACATGCCGTGTGACCAGTGTAGTCAGCTTTATGAACGATTGACTCTGTGTCAGTTCTTTTAATTAAAAGTTTAGTGAAACAGGCCAACAGAGCAGTAATGGATGTGACTCAATGAACCATCAATTTAAAGCGATAGTTCACCCACAAATAAAAATTCAGTCAATTTTAAAAATTCAAAATTCTTACTCACCCTCATGTCGTTCTAAACCCATAAGACCTCCGTTCATCTTCGGAACACAAATTAAGATATTTTTGATGAATTCTGAGAGCTCTCTGACCCTCCCATAGACAGCAATGTAATTACCACAATCAAGGTCCAGAAACGTAGCAAGGAGATCGGTAAAATAATCCATGTGACATCAGGGGTTCAACCGTAATTTTACGAAGCTACGAGAATACTTTTTGTATGCAAAGAAAACAAAAATTCTTTGTCGACTTTTTTCAACAATTTGTCTCCTCCGTGTCACCCTGGTGCCATTTTGGAGAGTATCCACTGAACGTAAACAGCGTATGCTATTCTGTGTCAGCTGACACAGACTGGCTGACCCAGTAGTTATTTTAGTTATTTTCTTTGCGTACAAAAAGTATTCTCGTAGCTTCGTAAAATTACGGTTGAATCCCCCACATGGATTCCACCGATCTCCTTGCTACGTTTCTGGTCCATGTTCGTGGTAATTACATTGCTGTCTATGGGAGGGTCAGAGAGCTCTCAGAATTCATCAAAAATATCTTAATTTGTGTTCCGAAGATGAACGAAGGTCTTACAGGTTTAGAACGACATGAGGGCGAGTAATTTGACAGAATTTTCATTTTTGGGTGAACTAACCCTTTAATTGATCTGTCTGGAAATGAACCGAGAACTGTATTGTAAGTTGTGTCATGTGTATAACAAAGTTGTTGTTTTTTAAATAATTGTTCATGTAACAACACATAGGCTTAATTAAATTTACATGTTCACAACAAGTTTCTGTAATAAGTAGTATTTAAAAAGTTATATAGTAAATATTTGCATTCGCACAAGTGATTCATTTTGGTCACTTACTGAACGCATGCAATTAAAATACAGAATAAATCATAAAAACTGAGTTTATTTTGCCCACCTTCTTCCTGAGCAGCTCGTTCTCCTGCTCCAGGGCTCTTTTGCTGCCCTCCAATTCTTTAACGCGGAAGTCTTTGCTGGGGTCTTTGCTCTGCATAGTCAGTAGCTGACTTTCTAGAGTACGCTGAGCATTATTACTTTCCTTCACAGCAGCCTGAGAGAAAGAAGGGTGCGAAGATCAGAGATGGATCTACATTTATCATATAATGTCATCATGATTATATGAGTGTTATTGATGTTGGATTTTTTTTGCAGAAGCGATGAAGGGTGATTAAGGGAAGTTTAGTGGTGGCGCCCCCTACCTGCAGCTGTCTGTTGTGCTCACGAACGGTCTCCAGTAGTCTGTCGTATTGCAGAGCCTGATCCGCCTTGAAGCTCAGATCTCTCTCCAGCTCCTCCTTCTCGCTCTCCAGACGCTGCACAATAAAACACACACACAATAAATCCAAATGCAACCAACCATATAACTATGCATGGTTAGTGTAATAAAAATAGGCTTTCGGGTTTTCAAAAGGGAGAAACGCTTTCCATACTTTAAGTTAAAGGCAGCACAGAAACTGATGTAGTAGCTGTAGTCTTCAGTAGCTGTTGGTCACACCATGTTGGCTTACTGACTGAAAAGACGTGCATGTATTTGCAGTGACCCAATGATGGTTTATGTTTAACTGAGCAGAAGCTTCAGTCAAACAGGAAATGAAAGCTTTGGAAGAGTTACCCCTTGCTGTACCAACAAAGCTTTTTGTGATATACTTGTGACATTTCACAATAATCTGAATTTGTACTTGCAAAAGCAACATGCATATTACTATAGTTCTGTCAGGACCACTATCGTCAAAATGATAGATACTTAGCATAAAGTTTGGTTTGGCGGTATGGTTCTGTTCTGGGCAAAAAACCTCCCTGCCCATCCATGCAGCCTGTCATGAATGAGCAGGGAGAGCAGCAATAATAACCCCCCCAGGGTTAACAGAACAGAACAAGGCAGATATCATTAATGTACTCAATGATATTTAAGTGTAACACTTTATTCAAGATAAAGGAGTCTGATTAGCAAGGAATATCAGAAAGCTAAGTCCTGACTGTGGCGAAAGGTGGAGCTGGGGATGGAGGAGGGTAATTTGCTCCGAAGCAAGCTGAAAAGCTGCTGAATAATACTGAATACAGCTTATATAGGAATGCCGCGATAAGTGTCGTATTCCTATAGGTAGATGTGATCAGCTGAGAATCAGCTGATGCAAGCTTGACTCACGTGACCTGCCAGAACTAACGCTAAAGCTTAATTTGACATATGAAGTCTTGTAACTTCCCATGTATTAAAGAAAACATTCTGTATAAATTACTTTGATAAAAATAGTTTTATTTGGAACAAAATGAAGCTAACGTAATATTAAAGGGCTGTTTTGTAGCTGTTACATCATAGTCTTGAATCTGTTTATGTACACGCATCACACCTTGAAAAAGACAAGGTCAGGGTTGTACAACAAATGCACGCCCACGGGGCAGAACCTGATATATTTCATCACCATACAGTGGAAAATGGGGACTGTTTCTACAGGACAGGAGGCTGTTGGTTGGTTTAGTGATAGAATGATTGTACTCACCCTCAGATCATCCTGCATATGCACTAGCTCCTCTCGCAGACTGCTGAATGTGGCCATCAACAGACGCATGGTCTTATCAGCCGTCATACGAGTCTACATGAGAGAAAGACAATGCTTTTTAATCAATTAAAAAACATAAATCATTTACATTATTTGCTGAACATTTATTCACAACTAATCTCATACATACATAAATCTTTTTTTTTTTTTTGAGGAAAGCTCTTTACTGAACTTAGGGGTCATAAAAAAAAACACAAAACACATGACAGCAATTAATCTAATCTAACTAACTCAAAGTTGAATGTGTCACACATCTATAATGTTAAACAACTTTTTAAAAACTATCTGTGGGTATCTATTTTTATTGTACTCCTATGTGAAATAAACAGAATAACTGAGACTCCGTTGTGCCTAGAGGAACATGTGTTCCTGGGACAGGCTCATAAACTAATGATCTACTGCTGTCAGGAGAGGCGTCTGAGGGTGGGTGGGGTGTACTGAAAGGTGGGTGGGGCTGAGAGGAAGTGGGCAAGGCAGACATTCATAATGTGTCCATAAGCTCTCACCTGCAGCAGGTAGCGGATTTGCTGCTTAGTCAGTTCGGACACTCCTTTAGGAATGACACTCTCTATATCTTCTTTTTCCACCTGCACACACACACACACACACACACACACACACACACACACACACACAGACAGATATACGTGTTTAACAACTTCAGTGTAAAAAGTTTAACAACTTAATAATATAAAAAATATATATATACCGTATTGACCCGAATATAAGACGATGTTTTTTTCTTGGAAATACATCTGAAAAAACGCGGTGGTCTTATATTCAGGGTCTAGACTTTGACATGTCAATAATACACCCACAACAATAGGTGGTGCCAAATAAGCATAAAACGAGTGTGCCATGAAATACGTAATGTAATGCGTGTTGTAAAGATCGCGAGAACAAAACAAAAGAAAAATAAAACCTTACAGCTGCATGAGTCGTGACTGTCACATTAGCCTGATTGGACCAAACTCTCTTTGTGATTTTAAAACGTAAGACAGTACCCAGATTTGAAGACTACAGTAAGATTTAACTTCTACTGTTAATACGATTTTGGTAGACTACTATTAGATGGACAGCCTAAATGTCCCAATTCAGATGGGCTACCTGTTTTTTTGTTTGTTTGTTTTTTTAATGGTATATCAAAAAGTGTATATGTTTTAAATGTGATTGTTGGTACATTTTACCAGTTTTTACCATACTTTCAAAACAAAATTTAAAATAGGAAAAATATGCAATATGAAAATAATTGAAGACAAAATGTGTTTTACTGAGAAAAAACAAGATTTGGTTTTTTAAAAGCCTTTTTCCAAAAGGTACATCTGGAAAAAGGGGGGTCGTCTTATAATCAGGGTCATCTTATATTCGGGCCAAATACGGTAATAGGTAAAAAAAAAAAAAGTTTATGTACTACATACTACTTAATAAGCTTTTCTTTTCAAGAATTACATTTAAATGATTCTTCTTTCTTTATTATGATATCAGGTCAATTCTATCAACTTGATATGTCTTTACTTTATGCCCAACAAAAATTTGAAAATGAAATTTAAAAACATTTTAAATTATAGTGAAGGTGCACTGAAGTTACTGTGACCATGAACAGCATTTAAAAAAATTTTTTAAATGCAAGTGATATTAATGTAATTGACTCAATTTCATTGCTAATGATAACATTAAGGTTTAGAATTAACCAACTGAAACTTGAAAATCCTTTATGCAACATTGAAAACGTTCAGCCAACTCCACAGAAACTGAACAATTTGCCACTCCCTACCTTGTAGTCAATGGTGGGGTCCAGAAGGTGTTTCCTGCAGAGACAAAGAACAATATGAATGAGTCAAAAAAAAAAAAGAAAAAAGAGCCTTAAAGCAGAGGCGTCCAGAGGTGTTGCAGTTCTCACAATCAATTCCAACGTGTAAAGTACAGGACCTCTTAACTCGCCATTAATCGCTGGATTAAGCATTGCAATTTTGGACAAGGTGTAGAGGTTTTTAGGTTTTTGAACACTCTAATAAGTCATTTGTGAAAGTGACTGCAGATTAAGTAAACAGATGAGATTTCCTTTTAGATAATGGTCTGTAATTGGTTTAATAAGTCTTCAATGATATAGATTGACAGGGTTAATGGTTGGTAAGGGTTATCTGCATGCAAATCTTCAACTTGAATTTTCCATTAAAACATACAGAGAAATTCGTTAAGAATGGAACATGCGATTTGCACAGCACAACTACATCTAAATTGTAATTTAATGATGCAGTTTTATGAATTAGCTTGTGGCGTATTATGAAATAACCTTTTTTTTTTTTAATAGCATTACGATTCTGAAGGATGTGCTAGATCGTTAAAAATAAATAAAGAGAAGCACCTCACCTTCCGCGAATCTTGGCCACATGCTCGGAGATGCAGGTGTGAATATCTGAGTTCTTGCGGTAAACCTCGGCAAGAAGCTCGCCAAAGAAGCGGTTGTCCATCTTGGCGATCGGTTCCACATCGATAACCTCGGTCTTAATCTCAGAAAGACCATTCTTTATTTCTCTCAGGTCCACGACTTCCTCTCGAATGCTTGAAGTCTCCACCAGCTCCGACTGGAAAAAGGCATAAAGGATGGACAGGATATTTTGAGTGGGAGTGCTAAACTTTAGTTTAGTTACAAAAGATGCTATGCTGTAAATTTACCAACTAATCAAACAAATCGGCTACAGGATCAACACTGTTCTTCCTTGAAACATGCAAAATGTGATACTTACATAACAGTTAGTAGGTCAAAATGGAGGAAACTTCACAAGAAGGCAACAACCTCTGTCTATGTATGCTTAGAAATGAGGGTTCACGTTTTCAAGTATGTGTTAAATTCTTTACACTAGATTGTGAGTGAGAGACATCAGTTAGTCCACACCTCAAAGAATAGTAAGTGAAACACCACACGCCTTTGTATCAATCCAGATCAGACACTCCTGAGTGACTTCTCTAACAATACACTTAAAAGCAGCAAACAAAACTGCATGTCGAGAACTGAGTGGACCATGCATACACTCTCAGAAAAAAAGATACAAAAGCTGTCACTAGTGCGGTACCTTTCAAAAGGCACACTTTTGTACCTAAAGAGTCTATATTGGTACCTTAAAAGGTACATATTAGTACCTAAATTACATAATTACAACCTGTACTTAAAAGGTACAAAAGTGTACCTTTTGAAAAGGTACTGCCCCAGTGACAGCTTTTTTTATGAGAGTGTACTTAAGGCATTCTGGGGAGCGGCAGAAAAATTTGGTGCATGCAGCTACTGAAGCTGTTGATGGAAGGGTCTTTATGCAAATTCTGCATTTTGTACATTGTCATCTAGAAAGCACTAGAAGCGGTGGAAATGCACAATATGATTGGTCAATACAAGCATTCTGATTCAACTTAAACTTATTTGTATAGTGTTTTTCACAATACACATGTTCAAAACAGCCTTACAGAATATAATGATGTTGTAGTATATAATGTGGGGTACACGAGTATACTGTATGTATGCAGATAAAGTTGGACATAATTTAAATATCCAACCCAACTTAGGTAAAGAGTTACATTACATTCTGCAATGAAAAAAAATTTCTGTCATGTTAAAAATTCCAAGAAATTCCATCATTTCTATTGTTAAATATCTGTTTTCTCTTTTAAAGGCAGGGTAAGTGATTTGGTTCAAAAACATTTTTTTTTTTTTTAAACTTAGCAATTGCTAAGTTTATAGTCGTCTAAATGTACTTATGTATTTATATTTTCTGTTTAAAGTGTAGGACCATAAAATGTTCATCCAATCATATCCCTTGGTCCGAGGGCTACAATAGGCTGTCCTACCTGACTGTCAACAGATATATTTGCATACCTCTGCACACCCGTTTCACGCAGACACGATACATCATCAGCGCATTCCATTACACTATTGTAGACAGAGCGAGACTGGAAGCCGCTATTATTGTAATATTATGCCATGAGTTAACCAGCGTTGCATTCAGCCCTTCGCCTATGCCGTCTCTCATCTCTGGTCTGCCTCTGCACGTTCATGTGTTTTGGAGGAGGCGTGGCTTTGGAGAGTGATTTGCAGGGAGGGTGGTATCTTATGCTTTCAAAGCTAGCTCGCTATTGCTAGCCTCTCCAAAATCGCCTACCCTACCTTTAAGATTAGATAATATATAAAGCTGTGAAAGTTATTTAAAAAAATAATCACTGGCCAAATGTTCTATTTATGTGCATGAATAGCGCTTTCATCCCTAGTTAATAGTGTTTCAAACTGATTGAGGTTTTTGCATTCTAAAAGCAAAAGCATTAGGATTTAAAAATGATTTACGGCACAATATTGAATTTAAGGTATAGAGACAGTTCTGTCAGTCCTTCGGTAACATCCAGAACTTGAGGTGGATTCCACTAATCCATGAGAGAGAAGTATTGAGGGTTCACTCAGGGTCTAGTTTCATCCAGAATTATAAATGAACTGACACTACACGAGATCTTATGTTTAAATATTTAAATCACGTTGACATAATTGTAAGTCATTTACCCATTTGACATTATTCTAGTCATGATTCTGATACATCATTCCTTGGTTTTCTACTTTAAGTAAAACTGTTAGAAGTTACTGGCTGAATCTCACCAAAAATGCCCAGGTCATATTTCACCCTAAAATCAAAAGATAAAAAATAAGGTACTGATCAATTTTGAGATTTGGGGCTTTTTGGCCTTTCTGCTGTTTCAGACTAGAGGAAATAAAACATCCAAAATACACTTTTTGAGTGTTTATGTGTTCTGGAAATGAATGCAAAATAGAGCAAATGTAATTAAATAATGCCTCATTTGCATATGTAAACATAACATTTCAGAAAACCTGTAATAAAGATGACAACTGCAATGACTGGACATTTCACTTTTAGCTTCTTTTCCTATTATTCTCAGTAGTGATTTTCATTAGAATCCCATTTGAATCCCACTGTAGTTCTCAAACAATAAACACATTTTTTTTTTAAATCACTGCATTTTTATTTAATTATTTTACAATTTTTTTCACATCAACTGCAGTCAGTACGTTTGTGATTGTGCTTTTTTGATGGAATAACATAACCTGCAGGGCCTTAGTGTTGCTAGTGCCATGCTCTACCAGACCAGCAACTGGAGCATGTATGCTACAACTGTTCTATCACAGTAAAAAAAGTGCAGCAGAAGCACTATGGAAAAGAGAAACTTGTCCAGGTGTTTGCAGGCATTAGCATCTGTTTAGAGAGCTCTCACAAAAAAAGGGTTTTTGACAGCGGGTGTGTCAATCCTTGAGAACATTCCACACGTTCTGTGTCAGAAAGACCAGCAGTGACGGTGTTAACTGGGTGTGTGCTTGTGTGGACTCACTACTGAGGCCGCTGTCCAAAAACCGGTTTGAAGCTGCAACAATGAGCCGAGCTTGTTAACAGTTGCGCATATTACTAAACTTGTGATTTTTACAGGATTAGCTGTGCATGAGTGAATGTAGTTGTGTAAATTAAAGATTGTTTTTGGGTGTGTTCTTACAAGATTACAATGATAAGAAATAATCAATGATTGAAACGTACTTTAGACATTTGTTACTTTTAACGTCTGGCAAGTCGCAGTAGGTTCTGCACACAGCAAGCAAGGGCACATAACAGAGTTTAGTGCTTCTAGTTTCACTCAATCACTAGAGGTAGTATCACCAAAACTAACTTTCAACAAATTCCCACTTATGCATACTGAGTAAGAGTGAGCGTGCATTAAAAATGATACATGAGTAATAGCAGGAGTCAGTGCACAGAAGATTTCTGGGAGTAATTCCAGATCACCTGAACTTTCTCTTATGTGCAAATTTCATTCGGCTGTAATGCTGTAACATCGGTACCCACAGTAACATTGAGTAACTCTGCAAGGAATGCGCAGGAGGTGCTTCATTACATTGCAATTTGTGATTCTAAAATAAAAAAATTACATCAGGTCCATTCAAAAAACAAACAAACACTAATTGTATAGATGTTAATAAAGATCTGAAAATACTTTGTACTTGAGCTTTAAATCAGGGCTGTCCTTTGATTCATTTTTTTTTTTCATCAAACTTATTTTATATGTAAAGTCCAAGGCTGAGTCCAAGTCTGTTGGTTATCAAAAGCTGTAAAAAATGTAAAGGTCATTCGATTTTGAAAAACGGGTTCTGGAAATTTTACTTTTAGTTGAGCTGGCAAAATTGTGTACATTTTTACCCAGAAATTAGGAACTGTAGGCTTAAGTGTCCCTCCACTTTGATATAAAGCTGAACAAACAGTTATATCTTATCTAACTTTTGATAAGCATGTTCCCATGAATTATGAGAAGACACTAAATAAAGACAATCATTGCTACTAAACCTGTGACTGTATTTCCTTTCTGGCTTTGGCTTTTCACAATACCTTACTGTCTGCAAAAATGGGTCAATGTGTGAGCCAAAAGCCTCTCTGTTCCAGTGTAAGAACAGCAGGTCATTGCTCTGGTCTACAGTGAAAGGCAGGAGGAGCTCAGTTTTCAAGTTGTGCGCAGGAAGCCAGTGGAGAGAGATACTTTTAACATTTGAAGGAACACTGTTTTTATTTTTTTAAGCATTATACAACATAAAAAAAGATTTCTGTCAGGACCACTATCGTCAAAGATGATTGACAATTAGCATACAGTTTGGATTGGCGGTATGGTTCTGTTCTGGGCAAGAACTCCCTGCGCATACATGCAGCCTAGCATGGATGAGAGCAGGGAGAGCAGCGATAACCCCCCCCAGGGTAATAAAAAAGAATATAATAATAAATAGAATAATAGCAATAAATAATAGATTATGTATTACGAGCTACTTAAGGTTTTCTTATCGAGAATTTCATTTAAATGTCTCTTCTTTCTTCATTATGATATCAGGACAGTTCTATCACCTTGATATTTTTTAACTTTATGCCCCAACAAAAATATGAAAATAAAATGAATGAAATTTAAAAACATTCTCATCATAGAAAAAGTGCATTAAAGTTACTGTGTGTATGAACATTTTAAATTTATTTTTGAACAAATGTCAAAAAATGCTAAATGCAAAATCCCATTTTCATAGCTAATCATAACAATTAGGTTTAGAATTAACCAACTGAAACTTGAAATCCTTTATGCAACATGGAAAACTTTCAGCCAGCTTCACAGGAACTGAACAATTTGCCACTCCCTACCTTGTAGTCAATGGTGGGGTCCAGGAGGTGTTTCCTGCAGAGACAAAGAACAATATGAATGAGTCAATAAAAAAGAGAGCCTTAAAGCAGAGGCGTCCAGAGGTGCTGCTGTTCTCACAATCATTTCTAAGGTGTAAAATACAGAACCTCTTAACTCGCCATGAATCACTGGATTGAGCATTGCTCTTAGACAGTTTTGGACGAGGTGTAGAGGTTTCAGGTTTTTAATCAGTCTAATGAGTCATTTGAGAAAGTGACTGCAGATTAAGTAAATAGATGAGATTTCCTTTTAGATAATGGTCTGTAATAGGTCTTCTCAATATGTGTCAAGTCCTCAATCATCTTGATTGACAGGGTTAATGGTTGCTTAGGGTTATCTGCGTGCAAATCTTCAACTTAAATTTTCCATTAAAACACACAGAGAAATTCGTTAAGAATGGAACAAGCCATTTGCACAACAAAACTACATCTTAGGCCCCGTCCACATGGAGATGCGTTTAGCTGTATACGCATACATTTTGTATCGTATAGGCGTTTCGTCCGGACGAATCCAGCATTTTGGGAGAGTGAAACTGATATTTCTTGAAACCGGGTCCCAGAGTGGATAAATCTGAAAACGCCACCCTTGCGTTTTCGTGTGGACAGCGAATCCATATATTTTCTGAAACGATGACGTCATCAGCCCATGTCTAGCCCCTAGTCAGACACCGCTACATCACAGCAACAAAAACATGAACAAACACCGAACGATTGTCTTTTTATTAACTAACATTAACACAGATTAATAAATGTATTGTTCCATGTTCATTTGTAAACCGCGGCAAGGTTTATGCGCATAGTCCAAGTCTTCTTCTCCGTTTTTAGTGCATCTCTGTGACAGAATAACAGCGCCACATACTTGTCTAGCATGTATACTACATCGTTTTGTGTCGGTTTCGTGTGGACGCAGACATTTCTTGAGACGAGGAGAAAAAAAGAGATTGGATAGGGAAAGCTCTGGCTTCGTGTGGACATAGCCTTAATTGTAATTGAGGGAGGACATTATATAAATTAGCTTGCGAAAATGTATTTATTATGAAATAACGAAACATTACAATTCTGAAGGATGTGCTAGATTGTTGATAATAAATAAAGAGAAGCGACTCTACCTTCCGCGGATCTTGGCCACATGCTCGGAGATGCAGGTGTGAATATCTGAGTTCTTGCGGTAAACCTCGGCAAGAAGCTCACCAAAGAAGCGGTTGTCCATCTTGGCGACCGGTTCCACATCGATAATCTCGGTCTTAATCTCAGAGTGGCCATTCTTTATTTCTCTCAGGTCCACAACTTCCTCTTGAATGCTTGAAGTCTCCACCAACTCCGACTGGAAAAGGGCATAAAGGATGTGAAGACAGGATATTTTGAGTGGGAGTGCGAAACTTTAGTTGAGTTACAAAAGATGCTATGCTGTAACCAACTAATCAGCTAAGCAAACAACTCAGCTACAGGATCAACGCTGCTCTTCCTTGAAACATGCAAAATGTGATTCTTACATAAGAACAGGAAACTTCACAAGAAGCCAACAACCTCTGTCTATGTATGCTTTGAAATGAGGGTTAACTTTTTCAAGTATGTGTAAATTCTTTACACTAGACTGTGAGTGAGAAACATCAGCCAGTCCACACCTCGCAGAATCGATCCAGATCAGACACTCCTGAGTGACTTCTCTAACAATACTCTTAAAAGCAGCAAACAAAACTACATGCCGGGAGCTAAATGGACCATAAATATTTAAGGCCTCCTGGGGAGCGGCAAAAAAATCTCACATGCAGCAACTAAAGCTGTTGATGGAAGGATCTTTATGCAAATTTTGCATTCTGTACATTGTCATCTGCTAGAAAGCATTAGTAGTGGTGGAGATGCACAAAAAGATCAGCCAATATAAGCATTTTTTTTAATTATCTGCATTGCTCTGATTTTTCAATGTCAACTCAAATTTAGGTGTAGAGTGCTTTTCACAATACACAATGTTCACAAGCAGCTTTACAGAACATTATGGTGTTGTAGTGTATAATGTGGGGCACACAAGTATACTGTATCTATGTGGATATAGTTGGACATACTTAAAAATATACGCCAACCTTATATAAAGAGTTGGACAATAGTATAATTACATTTTGCGATGGGAATAAAATCTGTCATGTTAAAATTCAAAGAAGCTATCCACCTTTTCTATTATAAAATATCATGTTTTGATGTCTGTTTTCTCTTTTAAAATGAGGTAATAGTTAAAGCTTGAGGTGTGTCGGAGTGGTCGGGCTGGATTCCACTGATCCGTGAGAGAGAATCACACATTGAAGGTTCACTCAGGGTCTAGTTTCATCCAGAATTATAAATGAACTGACACTACACGAGATCTTATGTTTAAATATTTAAATCACGTTGACATAATTGTAAGTCATTTACCCATTTGACATTATTCTAGTCATGATTCTGATACATCATTCCTTGGTTTTCTACTTTAAGTAAAACTGTTAGAAGTTACTGGCTGAATCTCACCAAAAATGCCCAGGTCATATTTCACCCTAAAATCAAAAGATAAAAAATAAGGTACTGATCAATTTTGAGATTTGGGGCTTTTTGGCCTTTCTGCTGTTTCAGACTAGAGGAAATAAAACATCCAAAATACACTTTTTGAGTGTTTATGTGTTCTGGAAATGAATGCAAAATAGAGCAAATGTAATTAAATAATGCCTCATTTGCATATGTAAACATAACATTTCAGAAAACCTGTAATAAAGATGACAACTGCAATGACTGGACATTTCACTTTTAGCTTCTTTTCCTATTATTCTCAGTAGTGATTTTCATTAGAATCCCATTTGAATCCCACTGTAGTTCTCAAACAATAAACACATTTTTTTTTTAAATCACTGCATTTTTATTTAATTATTTTACAATTTTTTTCACATCAACTGCAGTCAGTACGTTTGTGATTGTGCTTTTTTGATGGAATAACATAACCTGCAGGGCCTTAGTGTTGCTAGTGCCATGCTCTACCAGACCAGCAACTGGAGCATGTATGCTACAACTGTTCTATCACAGTAAAAAAAGTGCAGCAGAAGCACTATGGAAAAGAGAAACTTGTCCAGGTGTTTGCAGGCATTAGCATCTGTTTAGAGAGCTCTCACAAAAAAAGGGTTTTTGACAGCGGGTGTGTCAATCCTTGAGAACATTCCACACGTTCTGTGTCAGAAAGACCAGCAGTGACGGTGTTAACTGGGTGTGTGCTTGTGTGGACTCACTACTGAGGCCGCTGTCCAAAAACCGGTTTGAAGCTGCAACAATGAGCCGAGCTTGTTAACAGTTGCGCATATTACTAAACTTGTGATTTTTACAGGATTAGCTGTGCATGAGTGAATGTAGTTGTGTAAATTAAAGATTGTTTTTGGGTGTGTTCTTACAAGATTACAATGATAAGAAATAATCAATGATTGAAACGTACTTTAGACATTTGTTACTTTTAACGTCTGGCAAGTCGCAGTAGGTTCTGCACACAGCAAGCAAGGGCACATAACAGAGTTTAGTGCTTCTAGTTTCACTCAATCACTAGAGGTAGTATCACCAAAACTAACTTTCAACAAATTCCCACTTATGCATACTGAGTAAGAGTGAGCGTGCATTAAAAATGATACATGAGTAATAGCAGGAGTCAGTGCACAGAAGATTTCTGGGAGTAATTCCAGATCACCTGAACTTTCTCTTATGTGCAAATTTCATTCGGCTGTAATGCTGTAACATCGGTACCCACAGTAGCATTGAGTAACTCTGCAAGGAATGCGCAGGAGGTGCTTCATTACATTGCAATTTGTGATTCTAAAATAAAAAATTACATCAGGTCCATTCAAAAAACAAACAAACACTAATTGTATAGATGTTAATAAAGATCTGAAAATACTTTGTACTTGAGCTTTAAATCAGGGCTGTCCTTTGATTCTTTTTTTTTTTTTTTGATCAAACTTATTTTATATGTAAAGTCCAAGGCTGAGTCCAAGACTGTTGGTTATCAAAAGCTGTAAAAAATGTAAAGGTCATTCGATTTTGAAAAACGGGTTCTGGAAATTTTACTTTTAGTTGAGCTGGCAAAATTGTGTACATTTTTACCCAGAAATTAGGAACTGTAGGCTTAAGTGTCCCTCCACTTTGATATAAAGCTGAACAAACAGTTATATCTTATCTAACTTTTGATAAGCATGTTCCCATGAATTATGAGAAGACACTAAATAAAGACAATCATTGCTACTAAACCTGTGACTGTATTTCCTTTCTGGCTTTGGCTTTTCACAATACCTTACTGTCTGCAAAAATGGGTCAATGTGTGAGCCAAAAGCCTCTCTGTTCCAGTGTAAGAACAGCAGGTCATTGCTCTGGTCTACAGTGAAAGGCAGGAGGAGCTCAGTTTTCAAGTTGTGCGCAGGAAGCCAGTGGAGAGAGATACTTTTAACATTTGAAGGAACACTGTTTTTATTTTTTTAAGCATTATACAACATAAAAAAAGATTTCTGTCAGGACCACTATCGTCAAAGATGATTGACAATTAGCATACAGTTTGGATTGGCGGTATGGTTCTGTTCTGGGCAAGAACTCCCTGCGCATACATGCAGCCTAGCATGGATGAGAGCAGGGAGAGCAGCGATAACCCCCCCCAGGGTAAACAGAACAGAACCAACATAAATGTATGCAGATATCGTTAAAAGTTCAATAATGTTATGTACACATTTTAGAATTAGTCTGATTCAAAGGAGAATCAGAGGCTGAATCCTGACTGACAGAGGAGGAGTTGGGGATGGAGGAGGGTAATTAGCTATTGAGCAATGCGGAAACTGCTGATACTACTGCGGGACCTTATATATGAATGCTTATATAGGTGTCGTATTCCCTGACTGAGAGTCAGCTGATGCGAGCTTGACTCACGTGACCTGCCAGAACTAACACTACGCTTGATAAATATAATTTCAAACTATTCATTAGGTAATGATTGTTCTAAATGAAAATAAACTGAATCTCTTTACAAAAAACCAGTTTCACTGTTGTTGAACCTAGTGTAATCAAGCAATCATGGTTCCTTCAGATTCATTTAGAAAGACAATTTACTTAAAGGTCCCCTGAAATGCTTAGAAACACGCAGCATTACTCTATGTGTTGATGTCATTTTAACTGAAACAGGAAGACAGGGCGGGACATATCAAGCAGCCCCGCCCCTTTTTAAAACAGCCAATAGCGTTTGTTTATATCACAGCTTGGGCTAGAGCCATTCAGAGCCGTTGAGTAGGGATGGGCGATACCACTTATTTTGTTTTCGATACGATACCGATATTTTTCAAGGCAGTATCGTCGATATCGATACCGATTCGATACTTCTGAACTAAACTTTTAAATTATGAAATGTATTAAATTATTAAATTACTAAGAGTAAAATGGGTAATAAGCACTTAACTTTATGTTTAAAACGCATTTTAACATTCAATACGCCTTAATTGTAACTTATTAGGTTATATTTTTGTTTACACATGGTTCAAATATGTTTTTTGTTTACAAATGATTCAAATCTATAAATACTACAGTTGAACTATGGTCACTTTAGTAAAACCATGGTTCATTTTCATAAGGGACTGCCAGTGACCGGCTGTTGCATGCAACCTTTTTATTCTGACAGGTGTAGGATTTCTATTAACATTACAGAATAGAACATGATCAATATTATCTTTCAACGTTCAATTTAAATAACTGTAATTGCACAAACTATGTAGGCTACAATTTCAGTTTGTTTATGGTGAAATAACTCTGTCCTTCTGTTCTCTGATAAGCTTTGTTCAGGGCTGCCGTTCCCAAAAGCTTTAATGCTTTCTTATGATACTTTTGGGAAACGCAGCCCTGTTTGAATGCACTGTCGGAAGTGAGTGAACGCTCTCTGTGATTGATTAGTTCTGTCTTGCAACATTTACGTGTCCAGATGAGCAGGAAAATAGTTATATCCTACACAATTACTCGCTAACAAAGGTTATTCGTCCAATTCAATGCATATAGTATGATTTTTTTTGTTTGTTAAATTGTTAAAACAAAATCACTGGTAAATAAAACACACCTTAGTATCAATATTTTTTGTTTGAGTATCGTAGGGCTGGACGATATGGCCAAAATTTCGCTATTTATCACTATTTATCTGAAATAGAAATCTTTTGTGACATTATAAATGCCTTTATCATCACTTTTGATCAATTTTAAGCATCCTTGCTAAATAAAAGTATTAATTTCTATAATTTCTTTCCCCAAAAAAATAATAAAAATTATACTGAATGGAATAGTGTATAATGTTACAAAAGCTTTTTATTTCAGATAAATGCTGATCTTTGGATCTTTCTATTCATCAAAGAATCCTGAAAAAAAATTTACTCAACTGTTTTAAATATTGATAATCAGCATATTAGAATTATTTTTGAAGGATCATGTGACACTGAAGACTGGAGTAATGATGTTGAAAATTTAGCTATGACCACAGGAATAAATTACATTTTAACATATATTCAAATAGAAAGCAGTTATTTTAAATAGTAAAAATATTTAAAAATTGTACTGTTTTTGCTGTACTTTGGATCAAATAAATCTGGAAATGCTCTTGCTGGAGACGGGCTTATTATTGAAAATGCAAACTCATTCTCTACCAGCAGGAGATGCTTTTAAAGTAATAAAACTAGCGTTTTCCCCAGTAATAGCTGTAATCAAAGCAGCTCCGCTCATGAATGCTACTTTATAAGATCAAATGAAAATGCCATCGAAACCTTTCTGAAGACAGTCAGTATCCCTTCAGAGATACATTCATATAAACAGCCGCGACGTGTTTTGATTTTGAAACGTGCATTGCTTATATTTATTCAAATTAGTCAAACGCCACAAATAAATCAATGTATGGGAAACACTGGTAATGTATATCGAAATATCGGAAATGTGTTTAAAAATCATATCACCGTTATTGAAAAAATATATATCGTGATATATATTGATATTGAATTATTTGTCCAGCCCTAGAGTATCGATACTTTCGATACTCGCGTCAGTATCGATATATCGATACTTTGGATCGATACGCCCATCCCTACCAGCCACAATCTCATCCATATTGCTATAAAACATAGCATTCTGTGTAGAATTCAAATAGCTCCGATACATTTTGTGGTCTGCGCCGACCCACGAACGTGATCCGCTCCATGCTATCGTGACTCTGGACCGGAGCAGAGTGTGTGTGCGGTGGTTAGTGTGACAGCGAGAAACCAGACTTCTTTTTTTCCTCAATGGAAAGCATATTTACACTGTTTGAATCGTTCCCTGTCCCCTATACAGTGCACTATGTGCCATTCACTGTACAGAAAATACTAATTCTGTGGACAAGTGACCGATTTCAGCCGCGGCTTCAGCGTCTATTTTATAGCGCTTCGGATTCTAGAGAGCATTTGATTGGACAGAAAGTTTGATGAGAAGCTGAAGTAAAAAAATCGTTGAGCCGTTTTGGCGGAAGTGATGAACTGCAAGCTTTGAATGCTTATATCTTCTAAATGCGAATGTTGTCACTGTTTTGGACCACACTGCCTTATAGATAACCTTAAGACTAACATATTGATACTAACACCCAAAAAACTTAAATTTTTTGAGTTCATGGGGACTTTAAGGTCTTACCTGGGAATTTAAAACAGCCCGTTCAAATGCATGCAAAATATGAATGATATTTTTACATACTGTAATTCCTCTCCATTACATTGAAGCTTAACAGATTCTGCTCCAAGTCACTGTTTTGCATGAGTCAAGCCTAAATCATGAGCTGTCATGCAGTCAAATCATGGGAAAAGAGTCAAAGTTTTAATCAAGTTCTGAATCATCAACTCTTTAAGTCTGACTAATAATGTATTAAATCATGATTACAAGCCTTTCTAAATGTGCTTTATTAAAGAAAATATGTATAAGGCAAAACTAATTTTTTAAATAATTAAAAACCTAAAAACTTATGTAAAACATTTGCTTTGAAAAAAAAAACTGTGGCAGAGAATAAATCTGTAAAACAATGCAATTTAAATAATAATAATACCACTACTACGATAACATTATTTGTTTGTCAATTTAGTGGATTCAGTAGCACTTTTGTTGGCTAAATGCAAATCTATTTTATCACATAAAATAGCGTTTTTTCCTGCACACATTTAATACGTTCCTGACAAATGTCTCCTAAAATTCTCCACTCGTCAGCTCAAATCCTAATTTCTGAGAGACTAGTTTGAAATATTCAAATGTACATAAATACTAGATTATTAATTGTCATTTAACAAGTAACAAGACTTAAACATTCAACAAGTAATTTAAATATTCAACATAACTGAACCAAACTCTGACTTCAGCAATTATGATAACTTCGTTATAATATCACATCTGCCAATATCGCTTCAATTCTTGCACAGTATTTCAACATAACAGAACCTCACATAATGTTACGCATCACACTTTCTTCTCATGAAATACTCCAAGTCCATTTTTGCATTCATCAATGCATGTGTCAGACCAATGACATCATGTGAAATTTCACATTACAAACCTAAAATTTAAGACATGTCTGAGTGCAAGACGCCTAATTACAATAAAATCCTCCTATGTGTACGAAACTTGAAGCAGAAGATAAACTCCCAACTCCTGTCCCAGCATGTCTGCAAGCACAACCCTATGACAGCCCTCATTAAATCATTGCGTGTAATGCTTTTCAAACTGCTGTATGAAAGGCTGATGACTCAACCTTACATGGAACGCACTGGACCTTCACATCCATTAGTTAAACCCACAGAATGAGTTTCCCCCACCTATACAGACCAACTTATATATAAAGCTGCTAGAAACCTTACAAAATGAATGCAACCATGTTTTGCCTTCTGCTGCGTATTATCTTTGAAAGACCAGCACATTTGTACAGTGAAAAGACTTTCACCAATGAAAGAAATGTCTAAATGTCTGAGTCTGACCTTATGGTACAATAAAAATACAATGTTTTTAGGATTTCAGCTTAAATTGTTATTATTTATTAGTGATTTCTTTGTTTATTATTATTAAAAAAGATGTTTTAGAGTTTGACTTATCCCATTTCCCAAGCCTAATTTCATATCTAGATACACACTGCACATAAAAAGTATATTTTGGCACATTTAGCATAATTTGACAAGCTTACAGCTTGAATGGAAATGATGCACAAAAAAATAATATTTTCACAAGTAATATTTAACTTAATTCGCATCTTAATTTATCTCTCAAGCATTACCTTTACTGACATTGTTGTCTAATATTTTGTCATATAAACTAAAGAAAGGTGTTTATTTGGTAGTACACATTTAAGCTCTTCCAACATACACCTTTCATCTTCTTATCACCTGCAGGCTGGTTGACAGCAACAGTTGCATTAAAGGGCAACTCCCTCTAACACTTTCCTTGCAATATATTATGACTATTGTCGGGCCCAATCCAAATGGGCGTTAACACGCTGTCTCCTCTGGGAATTACAGAGTCCATTCTTTCTGTCAGACACACCCTAAACCCTGCAGGTACTGCACTTGTGCTCAAACACATAAAATGTTTTCATATTAGCATGTGTGCATGCAACTACACACACTAAAGCCTGGGTAACATTAAAGCTTGTTCTCCCGGCTCAGATCACAAGCCAGAGGCATGTACAAACCCAGAAGAAAGTGTGTGTAATACAGTACCTTGTGTATTTCATCTAATGCATGAAAAGGCATGAAAGTCAAGTCAAGGGTAACTTTAGGTGTGTGTGTTTGTGTGCTAACCGTATGAATGCATACAAACAGTTTTCAGCCTTAAATGTTACCGAGTATATGTGCCTGTCTGCATACACAGTAAACGTTATTTCATTACCTCAGATGGTTCAGGGCTTTTGACTGGACTGGATAACTGGCTGAATACAGATGTTTGTCCATTTATGTTCTGAATACAGAAGAAGAAAACATTAATAAATAAGGGCTTCTTGAATACATTGTCTTGTGCTAACACGCAAGACTTTACTTTACACACATGTAAACACACATGCTTGTCACACTTTTTACTCTATTAAATAAACAGAAACTTTGTTGACTAAAAAAAAAAAAAAATTTAACATGTACTGTACACAATTATTGCCCAGAAAAAAGATGCAAAAAAGTTCAATGAACATACACTGATCAATAGCAGAGTGTGCTATCAAATGGGGTAATTTGCCACAGCATAACCTGATATTAAATAGCATATTACAGGCTTCTCAACAAAATGTAAACAGTTATACATAAAAGGCACCATACAGAAAATAACATTGTAATAATAATTTGTATAAACATTAATATTTGAATGTTCATGAACAGTCATGCATTGACCTGCACTTTGCTAATTACATATCATTATGTAAGTCTTTATAAAGTGGGTTTACATTTATACTTCACATTACACGGTTAATGTTACTGTGTGTCTACCTGAGTGGTTCTAATGACCTAAACATACTTGTGTATAAAATTAAGTGTCAAGCTTCTGTATGTAGGAAAAGTTGTCATAGTATTTTAAAGCTGATATGTATCTTATATATACTGAACAAAATTATAAACGCAACACTTTTGTTTTTGCCCCCATTTTTCATGAGCTGAACTCAAAGATCTAAGACTTTTTCTATGTACACAAAAGGCCTATTTCGCTCAAATATTGTTCACAAATCTGTTTAAATCTGTGTTAGTGAGCACTTCTCCTTTGCCGAGATAATCCATCCACCTCACAGGTGTGGCATATCAAGATGCTGATTAGACAGCATGATTATTGCACAGGTGTGCCTTAGGCTGGCCACAATAAAAGGCCACTCTAAAATGTGCAGTTTTACTGTATTGGGGGGTCCGAAAACCAGTCAGTATCTGGTGTGACCACCATTTGCCTCACGCAGTGCAACACATCTCCTTCGCATAGAGTTGATCAGGTTGTTGATTGTGGCCTGTGGAATGTTGGTCCACTCCTCTTCAATGGCTGTGCGAATGGATATTGGCAGGAACTGGAACACGCTGTCGTATACACCGATTCAGAGCATCCCAAACATGCTCAATGGGTGACATGTCCGGTGAGTAAGCTGGCCATGCAAGAACTGGGATGTTTTCAGCTTCCAGGAATTGTGTACAAATCCTTGCAACATGGGGCCGTGCATTATCATGCTGCAACATGAGGTGACAGTCGTGGATGAATGGCACAACAATGGGCCTCAGTCACGGTATCTCTGTGCATTCAAAATGCCATCAATAAAATGCACCTGTGTTCGTTGTCCATAACATACGCCTGCCCAAACCATAACCTCACCGCCACCATGGGCCACTCGATCCACAACATTGACACACAATATTACAACGTACAATTGCACAAAAGGCTGCAAACGACAACGCACATCTGAAGTGTCTCTGAAGGAAATAATGCATTATTTATCGGCTTTAAGATATCGGCCAAATTTTCTTATCAGGCCGATACCGATAACAGGAAAAATGAGCATTTATCGGCCGATACCGATATGGTGGCCGATATATCGTGCATCCCTAGTTTATTTGGTAGTACACATTTAAGCTCTTCCAACATACACCTTTCATCTTCTTATCACCTGCAGGCTGGTTGACAGCAACAGTTGCATTAAAGGGCAACTCCCTCTAACGCTTTCCTTGCAATATATTATGACTATTATCGGGCCCAATCTAAATGGGCGTTAACACGCTGTCTCCTCTGGGAATTACAGAGTCCATTCTTTCTGTCAGACACACCCTAAACCCTGCAGGTACTGCACTTGTGCTCAAACACATAAAATGTTTTCATATTAGCATGTGTACATGCAACTACACACACTAAAGCCTGGGTAATATTAAAGCTTGTTTTCCCGGCTCAGATCACAAGCCAGAGGCATGTACAAACCCAGAAGAAAGTGTGTGTAATACAGTACCTTATGTATTTCATCTAATGCATGAAAAGGCATGAAAGTCAAGTCAAGGGTAACTTTAGGTGTGTGTGTTTGTGTGCTAACCGTATGAATGCATACAAACAGTTTTCAGCCTTAAATGTTACTGAGTATATGTGCCTGTCTGCATACACAGTAAACGTTATTTCATTACCTCAGATGGTTCAGGGCTTTTGACTGGACTGGATAACTGGCTGAATACAGATGTTTGTCCATTTATGTTCTGAATACAGAAGAAGAAAACATTAATAAATAAGGGCTTCTTGAATGCATTGTCTTGTGCTAACACGCAAGACTTTACTTTACACACATGTAAACACACATGCTTGTCACACTTTTTACTCTATTAAATAAACAGAAACTTTGTTGACTAAAAAAAAAAATATTTAACATGTACTGTACACAATTATTGCCCAGAAAAAAGATGCAAAAAAGTTCAATGAACATACACTGATCAATAGCAGGGTGTGCTATCAAATGGGGTAATTTGCCACAGCATAACCTGATATTAAATAGCATATTACAGGCTTCTCAACAAAATGTAAACAGTTATACATAAAAGGCACCATACAGAAAATAACATTGTAATAATAATTTGTATAAACATTAATATTTGAATGTTCATGAACAGTCATGCATTGACCTGCACTTTGCTAATTACATATTATTATGTAAGTCTTTATAAAGTGGGTTTACATTTATACTTCACATTACACTGTTAATGTTACTGTGTCTCTACCTGAGTGGTTCTAATGACCTAAACATACTTGTGTATAAAATTAAGTGTCAAGCTTCTGTATGTAGGAAAAGTTGTCATAGTAATAGGGATGCACCGATATGAAAATTTTGGCCGATACCGATAACCGATATGTTGGCCGATAAATCTATATCCAAATTTTTATATACTTTTTGAGAGCCTGATTACAAAAAAGGTCTCATCATTAAAAACCACATCCCGAACACTTCAACATAAGCAGCCTAGTTTGAACGGTGTATGTTTTAAAAATAATTTTACTCTCCCATTACCAAATTTAGTCATAAAAAACTGGGTGAAGTTAGCGAAGCCCTCCTGTGCGCCGCTGCCCGACTCCTGAAGTCTCTCTCCAGTGAAGTTGTATCAATGAGAAGAGGCGTGTTTTCCTAATCACTCCTCCCTCAGCTCAAATATCCAAGTATCTGAAACGACACCAAAGGGAGGAGGCGAGGTGATAGCTGTCGTTTTTCACCTGTGTACTGTGGCTGTATTAAAACCTAATGAGTTATCTTACCTTTCTGGTCAACGTTGGCAACCACACATTTGCAGCCAGGGGCTATTCAAGATCATGGTTGGCGCTCCCATTCTATCCCCTAATACAGGGGTAAGTTCAGAGGCCAAGCGGGCCGCATTTTAACCACATAAAATGCAAAGGGCCACAAAGTACAATTTGGATCATCAATATTTGCAGATTTACTCATTTAGAAATGCAGTTTATTACTTATCTAAGTCTTGCTTGTCCTTGTCCTATTTAAAATAAAACTGAACATTATATATATATAGGGTGCATTTGTGAAAAACAGAGGGAGGGATGCTTTTGAAAACTTTTTATAGATGTATAAAACTCCATAGGCGGAGGCTGACCCAACTACCCGTCTTTTTAGGCAAGTATAATAGGTGACATGCCATGAAATGTTTTTAAAGGGGTCATATGATGCTGCTAAAAAGAACATTATTTTGTGTATTTGGTGTAATGAAATGTGTTTATGCGGTTTAAGGTTCAAAAAACACATTATTTTCCACATACTGTACATTATTGTTTCTCCTCTATGCCCCGCCTTTCTGAAACGCGTAGATTTTTACAAAGATCATCGATCTGAAAAGTGAGGTGTGCTCTGATTGGCCAGCTATCCAGTGCGTTGTGATTGGCTGAATACCTCAAGCGTGTGACGGAAATGTTACGCCCCTACCATATTGTGATGCCCTGTCTGGCTGGAGCGACGAGACAAAAACATTAAAACCCATTATAAACGAGGCAGTTGTTGCATCCAGTGTGGACATAATTACGGATTATAATGACTTATACTGTCTTTTTACGCGTTGCATCACGCCGTGTAAGCATAAAACCATGTCTGTAGGGCTGCACGATAAATCAAAATGGAATCGAGATCGCGATTCGACAGAAGCTGCGATTGTCATGTGTATCTTTCAGTGAAGCACAGTTCTGTGATCAGCAGTAAATCTCCATCCAAAGGCCAGAGGGCGCTCTCGCGCTGAAACTCCAAATACGCCTCGCAGAAGAAACCCAGAAAATGCCTATAGCTGCAGCTGAATAAACAGAAGATTCAACTGCTTTCATTGATTCAGCGTGACTAATAAACACACGACTATGGCAATATACGGTTTATCTGAGTTCTTATTATTATAATTTTCATTAAAATAAAGTATATTTATAATGCAATGCCTTTATCACTGCTTAAATACTATGAAATATGTTGCGTGCCTTTTTCTGTGTAAGAAGCCACATCATCTCACAGAAGGATTTATTTCAAATACTCGACTGACATTATGAAGTGAGTTTGGCGTAAAAATATGTTATTAAATGTATTTTCGTATGCTTTCAGATGGAGCAGCATTTACTTCACAGAGCCATAGTTCACTGAGAAGCTATGCAAACAGCTGTCATGATCGCAAACGATTTCTTCGATTTCATAATCTCGCAATACATTTTTTTTTGCGTAACTTGTCAGTGAACTACGGCTATGTGTAGTAAATTCTGCTCCATCTGAAAGCATGTGATGATGATTTCCTGCTGATTACAGAACCGGCATTGCTATCAAAATGCGCATGACAATCGCATTCGATTAATCGTGCAGCCCTACATGTCTGCATTTGTGATCGGAGAAATGACAAACAACAAGTGCTACTCTACACTGCTCAAAACTCACGTTTGAATCGTCTTTAAAATTCTTTAAATATAAAAAAAACTTACTTACAGTCTGTGAGTCAGAACAGCCGGCATTGTAGTCTACTCTACCAGGATCAGGAAACAGTCCTCCATAAAATGTGCTGCACACATCCGAATATTTGGGTTAAACTGTTCTGGAACAGTGTTGTAAATACAACTTAACCACTGATTTCTAGTCGTGTCCTCTTTTGGAAGGCCAAACAAAGTAGTTTCGCTTTCACGACGAAACACACCACAGCCTTGAGTAAGCAGAAGCCGGAGGCCTAGAGTGAGCCGCAGACTAGAGTGAGCGGCGGGCGGGCTTGACAACGGCGCGGCCGGCGAATCCAACGAAGCAGCATCCGGCGTGCTTGCGGCAACCACATGTGACGACCCCGGGCTGGACTCCGCTTGATGTATTTCCTCAGCGACCAGCACGGATCAGCTCCAGGCATGACGAAGCAGATATCGTCCTCTTTTGGAAGGCCAAACAAAGTAGTTTTGCTTTCACAACGAAACACACAGCGCCTTCACGACATGGCGGCGGCGGCGGCAACAACAATACTACAGCGAGAATAAAAGTTACGCCTTCTTTCTTTGCGTGAACATTTTGGCGGCGTTATGCAAATCTTCCCACATCATGACGTAGACATGTGGGGGTGTGTTAGAACGAGGCATTTTAGGTAGGTGTGGTTGACTCTAAACTTTTATAAAGTATATCTCTTTGGATTTGAGACTTTAGTCTTTGCAGCTTTACAGATCTTCTTTATGCACCAAGAGCTTGTAACACTCCAAAGAGAAAGGAAAAATTGAAATCGCATCATATGACCCCTTTAATACGACAGAAACTGTATTTAATGTGATCACAATTTAATAACAACTTTGTAAGTTAGGCCTATTAATTGTAATGATTTCATTTCCACAGTTATTCAAACAACGAATAGATTATATAGAGAAAGTGAGCAAAGAACACAGCATCAACAGAGCTTTTAAAAACTCAGAATCAGTTAAACCATTGCATCGCAAAACGATTCACTGTTTCGAAACACTCCAGTTGGATTGCGTATCACGAATCATTTCATTCAGAGTCGGAGCGGGTTCGCGGGATGTTTTTTATTCCCACCGGGAGGGG